TGCTGTTGTTCAATAAAAGTACGTTTTAAAATCATTTGAGGTGAGAACTTTATACTTTTAAGCATCACCATATGGCCCATTCACAGATTTAAAAGAAAATGTGACGAACTTGAGAGGACCGCGGCACCAGCGGAGCTCCGAAGCTTACAGCAGCCAGGTCTAACCGCAGGCCGTCTGCAGCGGCCCTCTCTTGGCATAGCCGTGTGTGAAGCGTTTTGGTTAGCATTTTACTACATCGGTCGAATCTACAGGAGGAGAGTCTGATGTCGAGTCTGAAGTCATTAGAACATGAGTGGACTTTGCCAAATACAACAAAAAATCACCATCATAGCCAGCGGCCCTTCACACACGGCTATGCCGAGAGAGGGCCGCTGCAGATGGGCTGCCGTCAGCTTCGGAGCTCCGCTGGTGCCGCGGTCCTCTCAAGTTTTCAAGTCACATTTTCTTTTAAATCTGTGAATGGGCCATATGGTGATGCTTAAAAGTATAATATTCTCGCCTCAAATGATCTTAAAACGCACTTTTATGGAACAACAGCAACAGAAAAGAGAACATTTAACTTAGTACTCTGAGCTCTGTGAGTTAAGAAGATGGGCCGCCAAGCCAACCAATGAGCAGAAGTTGACTCTCTAGGACTCACCCCCTCCTCATTTGCATAATGAGACAGAAATGAATACAGAAATGTAAATATGACAGACAGAAATGTAAAAAGGGCAGAGAGAAATGTAAAAAGGGCATAGAGAAATAAACAGCGGCGGAGAAATAACTAAGGTAAAAAAAATACAATGGAAGAATAAAACAGACAAAAATATTATAACATGCACATAAATAAATACTTAAAAATATAAGTAATTAAAAAATAAAGTTGAAGAATAAAAAGGACAAAAAAATAAATAAAGTAAATATTACAAAGGCAAATAAATAAATAAGCTAATTAAGAGTTATATACATTTATGTCTCACTTTATAATTTAATTTCTACTAACATTTATTTGTTTATTGTATTTTTGTTGGCAATTAGTTGTATGCTTATATATTTTTTTGAGCATTTATTTATTTCTGTATTTATTTTTAAATATGGCAGAGTTGGTCCTCCATACCCAACAACCTACCATCCATCTTCCATTCCTCTGACTGGAGACCAACAAGTTGATGCTGACATCCTGGCTTTTGTTATGGCCCGGAAAAATCTTCTCAGCAGGAGGGGTAAAAAACTAACCATTCTATTGCTTTACTCTGCCTCTTCCTCTAAACTTCAACTCAACCAGTCTAAGTCTAACCTGCACTCAGTTCACATCTTACTCCTCAATCTAACCTTTTAGCAAAAAACAAAGCATGGGGCAGGAAACTGATCACACTCTACTGTATAACAAACAGTCCTTACTTTGCTACACTCACACCCACACCCATTTGAAATACTTTTGAAACAAAAATACAAGCTCAACAGTGTACTCTGGTGGTGTGATAAATGAAAACACATCACAAAGTTTTGCTGTGATGACCTTACGTAGGTTCACTGATGACAATGCTGCATCTCAAAGATGGATTTAAATTCCCTTTGCTCTGTCCTCCTAAACTTAATCTAGGCTGATCCAAACTTTGGCTTTTCCAAACTAACTTATCGTAAGTCCTGTATTTTTTTAGGTTGATTTCCAACTGGATTGTAACCTCCATGCATGTCTGATGTCTTTTATAGCTTTGAATAGGTTTGCTTTCAAGATTTCACTTCCTCCTTCTTCACATCTGATTAGCTTCCCTTTTCCAACTCAAGACATATAGTGGGTCAGTATTTTGTGGAGACCTTATTCCATCCATCTCCCCTAAATGACATGATCTAAGTTTAGACAAGGTTTCTTGAGGCTTTATTATTATTATGGCTTTCCTTTGGAAAACTATAAATGCATAATATCTAGCTGAGCTATAAATCTTTACAGCTCCTCCAATTTTATTGTGTTGTTCTTGGATTCTTTTGATTATCCTTTTCTGTTACTTTTAATGGACAGATTAGACTAATCTAGTACTGACAGTGTGCAGTTGGTTCAGATGAAATCATGTTTTGTTTTTTTTCGACCTCATGGATTTAGCAGTGTATGAGGAGAAACAAACAGCAGTTTGAGTTTCAACTTGGAGAAATACAACCTGAGTCAGGTTGTGATTTCTTCTTTCTTAACCTTCCTGTTGGTGTTTGGTTTGTCACCAGGTGATTTGCATGTGTTGAAGTTTGTCCTCAGATATTCAGAGAAGCTGAGGTCATAGACATAATGACTAAAAAGTACTAAAGTGCAGAAACAGCAGACAGAAAAACAAAAATTCTAAATGAGACATAAATCTTTTTTTTTTTTTTTTTTTTTTTTAGTATCTAACTGGTTAAAAGGAAAAAAGGGAACCAAGTATGTAAAGAATTATGCTATTCTCAGTAATAATACTCACTATTAAGGTAGGTTTCTGCTTTGTTTGCTTCAGGTCACCCTCAGACGTGAAGAAAGGTTTTAACGAGGAGTCACCTCAGCGCTTCTAGCAAAAGAAAGGCCTGAAAATTCTTTCTGCTATACACCTACTTATATGCCGGGTGTGGGAAACAATTGATCGGTTCCCTGGTAAAACATCAGAGAAATAAAGAAGAGCTGCAGTATTTGCTAAAAAATCTTGTGAGACTTTTTAATTTGGGTGCTTGATGATTCATGAATTGTTCTGTTTTCATATTTCCAGCTGAATTTATTTTTATTAATTTTATGTAAATAATTGTAAAACTATGCGACATATTTTAAAAAATAAAGATGAAACTTCAGCCAAAATAATCCTTACTCTTAGTTTTGATCAACCCAATCCATCACTACATTTTGTTTCTTTGTTTCTTCTTCTATTTTTGTCTGTTCTGGTAATGACCAAACACTGAACTTTGAATGTGCTATAAATAGTATGTGTTGTTGAATTTCTCTTTTTTGTTTTGTTCTGCCACCAGGACCGTTACCTTAAAAAACTTTCTCTTTCTCTCAGATAAGAATCTTTCATGTAAGAACAAGATTAAGGTAAATATTATAAAGAAAACTCTCCATTACCAGGTTAATGTATTCTTAAACACATGAAAAGCCCCAAGGCTAAGCAGCTGGTGGTTCCCTTCATGTCTGTGTAGCTTTTCTGTGTAAAACCATAGAGACGAACCTCCACCACTGCTGAACCACCTTTGTTTCAAAAAATAGGTTTGCATTGCTTTGCCTTAATTTGTTTGACCGATGACTGGAAGCTGAATACTTTGCATTCAGGACTGGGATCTTGGTTGCCTTGGATATTTCTCTGGGCAGCTCAGCCTCCACCCTTCAGTGGATCACTGGCTTTTTGACTGACCAGCAGCAGCAACTTAGACTGGAGAGTTTCTCCCATTTCAGAACCATCAAACACAGGCACCCCCCCATGGGATATGTTCAATCCCCCGTCCTTTCATCTGCATACAAAGGACTGCACCTCAGCAGACCTGTCTTTGAGACTGAAGTTAGTAGACAACACTACTAACATTCCTCTAATCCAGGATGGAAATATGTCTACAGGCATGAGGTGGATCAGATGGCCCGCTGGTCTGGTCTGGAGCTTTATTGAAAATGAATGTAAATAGAAAACACACTGCTTCCCTTCATCATCCTAAATACTATCTGCTGTAGATCACTTTCAGTTCATAGGAACCACACATAAAGCCACTGTTCGAATAAAGGCCCAGCAGAGACTCTATATTATGTGGAAACTAATAAAGCACAACCTCCAAACAAGGTCCTGGCCATATTTTACTCTGCCATCATTTAGTCTGTCCTGAGTTGGTGTAGGGTTTGGCTCATCCACAAAACAGGACAGTCTGTTCCTGTTTGGCTGTGACGCCATCCTGGAGATAAACATCAGCTGTGCTGCTTTTATCAACACCCTTGTTTATAGATGCTGGAGATCGGCCTGTTTTACCAGTGTAGTCCTGTTTCTCTGACAGTGACTGACTGGATGTGCTCCCTTCGTCCTCTGACATGGAAGCTGGGTCGGAGCTCGTCTGCCTGGCTGTGTGTTTCCTGGACGGGGCCGCCTTTTACAGCTGCTTTTTGTGTCTCTGCTTCCGTCTCCTTGAACCCCAGTCGGCCTCAGCAGATGGCCGCTCACACTGATCCTGGTTCTGCTAGAGGTTTCTTTCTGTTAAAAGGGAGT